CCAAAGAATCTGCACCCCACACAGCTGGATTCTCTGAAGACTTCCTTTCCACACATGCTCCAGTCTGACATGCAGAAGCCAGTTCAAAGTGGGGTGGCCTGGGCAAAGAAGGTAGGGAGTACCCCAAATTCTGGAGTTGGACTAAGAGCCAGTGAATAAGACTTGTCCAGTCTGCCATGAACATGGAAATTCCAATTGTCTCTTAACTCGCCCAGCTCTACAGTTAGCCTTCAGACACTGGGAGAGGGAAGGAAAAGCAGAAGATGAGGAATGCATCCGTGGACTTCATTTCTCTGGGGAAGGGGTCAGACTGAGGCCAACTGACACCAAGTCTAAGCTCAGAGAAGGCAGGCATAATCAGAGACCGTAAGCAAAGAGCTCTGCTGTTGCTGCCACACCACACATACACGGAGGCTGTTGTCCTCGTCACCTGGATCACTGCCACAGAACCCTGACAGGTCCCCAGGTAGGCCTTCCCTGTGCACTGCTGCCAGTTGCTGCCTCAGTGACTTAGAGATGACAACGCATGCCCTCCTTGCTTAATATTCTTCAGTGCCCTGCTTCCCACTCCAACACTTTCAAAATAAAAGCCCACGGCCCACCACACCTAGCACACCTTGAATTCTTTTTTTTTTTTGTTTTTTTGTTTTTTTTTTTTTTTGTGTGCCTTTCCTGGAGCTCACTTGGTAGCCCAGGCTGGCCTCGAACTCACAGTGATCCTCTTGGCTCTGCCTCCCGAGTGCTGGGATTAAAGGCGTGCGCCACCACCGCCCGGCCACACCTTGAATTCTTGATCCTTCCATGCCTTAGCTTCCCAAGAGCTGAGATAATGGTAAACACTACCACCTCATTAAAGTGTACAATTTACTGACAATCACTACCATCATGACCACTACGTGGGGTTATGAGATCCTGTTTCATCTTTAGGGCTTACAAGTGAAGCCTGGGCATTCAAATACACCTTTTATTAAGTGTATCCAGGCATATTTGTTAAGCATATATAGTATGCCAGACACCTAGAAAGGTATGTCGGGACTTACTAATAAGTGATATGAAAATCCTTGTATATCAGTAGAGCTCACGCTGGGTAAATAACTAAATGCATTTAGCTACAGAGGGAAGGAGAAGGCAATCTAGCAGTTTTCAAAGAGATGCAGGTCAGCTAAGAACAAGTGTGAGCAAGACTGACAGCGCCATAAGCTGTGGCTGCTGACCACAGTCCTCAGCTCTTCACATGACTTTTGCAGTAAGAACTGGGGGAGGCAAGCTGGAAGCAACAGGAAATCATGAGCTTTCACAAACTGAGGCCAGGAAGCTGAGATGTCATAAGACAAAAATGCACAGTCTATGGGAAAGGAGAAGCCTGAGACAGAGCTCTGAAGTCTACAGCCACAGACACGTCTGTTCACCAGTTATACGGGTTAAAAAAATTGTTTTGTTTAAAAAAAGACAAACAACGAAACCCAGCCAATTAGTACATTTGAGAGGAAAAGTACCTCTATGACCGGGCTTAAGAAAAGGTGATTGTAATAAAAGTGTAGCTCCAAGTTCAATTTTCCACCACCAGATAAACCAGGCATAGGGGTACACACCTGTAATTCCAGCACCCAAGGGGGTGGAAGCAGAGTTAAAAAACAAAACAAAACAAAACAAAACCCTCAAAGGCCAGCCTCTGCTACACTGAATGTTCAAAACCAGCAGGGGCTTTTTTTTTTTTTTTTTTTTTTTTCAAGACAGAGTTTCTCTGTGTAGCTTTGCGCCTTTCCTGGAACTCGCTCTGTAGGCCAGGCTGGCCTCGAACTCACAAAGATCCGCCTGCCTCTGCCTCCCGAGTGCTGGGATTAAAGGTGTGCGCCACCACCGCCCGGCATTCAATCTTAAAAAACAGATTAATTTGTACAGGAAAGATGCCTCCGACTCAGTGGTTCCGAGTGTGTACTGCTCTTGCAGGACCTGGGTCGGGTTTCCAGCACCCATGTCAGACACAACTGCCTGTGTCTCCAGTTCTGTCGGATCTGACATGTCTTGTCTCTGGAGGCTTCTATCGATCTCTACATTCATGCAAGCACACACATATACACGCACTCGTAATTACAAATCTTTTTCAAGAGTTAAAATAAGGCCGGGTGATGGTGGCGCATGCCTTTAACCCCAACAAAACAAAACAACAACAACAAAAAATTCCTAAGCCGGGCGGTCTTGGCACACGCCTTTAACCCCAGCACTCGGGAGGCAGCGCCAGGCGGATCTCTGTGAGCTCAAGGTCAGCCTGGTCTACAAAATGAGTTCCAGGACAGGCTCCAAAGCTACACAGAGAAACCCTGTCTCGAAGAGGAAAAAAAAAAAAAAAAAGAATTAAAATAAAATTGCACACGGAGACACAGGTTGAATTCGGTTTCAATTTGGAATGTGCTGTCAATTGAACTCGGAGCCCTGGAAAGCTGAGGAAACGCTATGGCACTGAACTACACCCCAGGCCCCTTTCCGGGATTGCGAAAAGGTCTGTGTCAGATTGCCGAGGCTGGTCCTAAATACCAATTCTCTTGGCTCAGCCTCCCTGCGGCTGGGGTCGCTTCTCTACGGGACTGTACCTGGCTCAGAAACTTTCTGACACGTGCATTTGCCTCACCAGGCTGATTCCTATCGAGTATTAGTTTGCAACCTCTGGACCCTTTAACAGAATGCAGATCCTTTCTTAGAGAAGCCTTAAACGAAGAACTGTGTCCTCCTCATAAAACAAGTAACAAGATCAAAGCCCTTCACAGACCAGAGGCACAAGCTCACTCGTGGGCCCGTCCACACACACTGCAAAGGCAGGACTTGACAGAATGAGCTACCAGAGGTGTCTGTCGACACCGGGATCGGAACACTTCCTGCCGGGGAAGGAGGGGATCGAGTATAGACGGGTAAAGAATATTTCAGAACAGCCCCCAAACTAGCCTCAGCTTTCCTACGTGAACCCCGCCAGCCCCGCGCCTGCTCCGCAACCACGACTTACTTACCGCCGCTCAACTTCCGGCAACCACAGCTCCAGCCGCGCCGCGCAGCCCAATGACGTAGTAACCCAGCCCACACAAACGCGGAAGCTTGGCGCGCGTGCGCACATGGATAAAAACAAAAAAGGGGTCCCTAGCACCGCGCTAACGGGGGCGTAACGCCTGAAAGCTAAAACCTTGTAAGCCTTGGGCTCTTAAGAAAGATTACACTTTCCTGCTAGTGACTACAGAGGACGACAAAGTGACTGTCATTATTATCAAATTCCCAGGGGGATTCCAGACGCAGTTGTAGAAAGAGATTTGCTTTTATTCTTTGCTTTTAATTCAATTTTATTTTAAAGAAAATGTCAAACGACATAGCCGTGGCTATTCTGGACCTGTATACACACACCAGTCTAGTCTCGAACTAACAGAGACCCACTTGCCTCTGCTTCCCCCGACTCCGTGTTGGGACTAAAAGCTTATACAACCATGCCTCACAAAAGGATCTGATTTGCATAGGGAAAGCCTAAGACTCTGGAAAACCAAATAACATCAAAAATACCCTTCAACCTACTTCAGCCAGCAGCTAGAGTGACTGTGAAATCGCTTCTTAAGAACGTACTATGAGGCCGGTCTGTGATGGTGCACACCTTTAATCCCAGAACTTGGGAGGTAGAGCCAGGCGTATATCTATGAATTCGAGGCCAGCCTGGTCTGTAGAGCAAGATCCAGGACAGGCACCAAAACAAGACAGCCAAACACTGTCTCCGGGGAGTGGGGGGGGGGGGACGGGGGAGAACCTAATTGTCTACTATGAGCCAGGCCTGGTGGTTTATGGCTTTACTCTCAGCATTTGGGAGGTAGGGGCAGATGGATCTCTGAGTTCCAGGTCACCCTATGTTATAAAGCAGCTTCCAGGACAGCCAGAGCTACAAAAAACTCTCTCTTGAAAAAGAGTTTTGTTTTCTACAATACAAAAAAAGACAAAAAAACAGACGAACCAAAAAAAAATTACTACAGGAAAACCATGGGGAATTTCTTTTGACAGGACAAAGAACATGATGAAATGCTCTAGCCTGGGAACTATGGTATATAGGGAGGGACTCCTTTAGAGACAGTTGTGCATTTGACATGTTTTAGTTCTGTAGTCCAGGATGGTGAGAGTTCAAAGTGAGCATCCTGATACCACATCTCCACTGCTGAAATTACAGACTAGGGACACCTTTCCTGGCTCACAGTGCATGTGGAGTGCCTCTAGGGACTCATCATAAGAGGAAGGACTATTTATTGATTCCTTAATTCAGAGTTTCCTATTTCCAATGGATAAATTACAAAAAGTCAGCATTATATGTGCCTCCTATAAAGGGGAAAAACAGGAGTAAAGAAACGTAAAGTGGTGCCTGGAAAGAAAGGATCCTTAGAGTCAGGTGCACAGTGAAAAACCAGATTCTGGCAAATTAGAAAAGACAGTTTTATGGAGGAGCCTTGAGGTTAGGCGACAGGGATGGGAAACCACTGGAATGGGAGACAGCCCTGAGCTACAGGTAAGCAAAGGTCTGAGGACAAAAGCTGGCTATGAGTTCCAGCTGAAAGCTGGCTATGAGTTCCAGCTGGTCGACAAGGTCTACACCCAAGACATAATATTGCCACCAACATCACAGAGAACAAGATGACAAGTGTGTGTTCTTGTGTCTGATAACAGTTTTCTTTGCTGAAGAAGGAACACACAAGACCAGAAAAAAAGGGTTGGGGAGGTAGCACAAAGATGGATGGGCTGGGTACAATGCTGGACTGTTAACTCTTCTATCCAGTATGCTCTCTGGGGGACTTTTGATGGCAGAAGATGAGCTTTAGACACATGAAAGGATGCCAGGGCAGTGGAGAGGCATGACCACAGCTCAGGTGGCTGAAATTCCACCTAATGTTCATGCAGACTCTTGGGTTATTTCACCTTTCAAGAAGAACTGTGAAGGACTGGCCACTGCCTTATCTAAGAAAGAATTAAGAAGGTATCCAAGCATCAATATTGCTCTAGCCACAGTCTGAAAAAGACTTACTATAACAGCTTTCCCAACATGGTGGCCTCAGATAACCATCAGTGTTCCAAATCTACTGATTACGCCAAGACATTCTGACTGGAAATTTAGATCATATTAAACAAATTCTACATTTTTTTAACACACTTCCAGAGATACAAACACAATCCACTATCAAAACGTAAGAGACACTCAAAGGTTCAGAGAAAAAGATCATGAGAAGGAACGGCAGTATGGAGACACTGTATTGCATGTTTGTAGAGACAGAAGTTAAAACAAAGGGTACACAAGACACAGGACAAGGAGGGTACAATGACTGAAAAGGGAAAGGTTTGGGAAAGGATGGTTGGAATGTTTGAGAATTACATGAAAAAAGACTGGGCATGGGTGTAAACATTGATAAGAAGACTAAACACAACAGAGTGGGAGGCCACATCAAGACAAACTATGGCAAGATATTGAGGGAGAGATATTAATGAAAAAGACCAGAAAGTATTAAGGACAGTCAAGGCCATTTGAAACATTGATAAAAAGAAATAAAGAAAAAAAAAAACCCTGAAACACAGTCGGGCATAGCACTTTGGCACTGAAGCATCACCCCACCTCAACCACTAGACAAAAAGGATGATGGATGGGTGTTCAGTTCCCAGAACCCAGTTTAATATTTGGAAGAAAGGGGCCGTAGCCATGATATGGATGGGACAGGAAAGGGTGGTGTGACTCAACAGTCATCTATCACTCTTTGGCACAAGATTTATCAACAGATCCCAAAGCAAAAGGGGAGCATGCATGATATGCAAAGAGGCACAGGGAGTCTTGCATGAAGGCAGGTCAGGTACTACAGTTGCTCTGAGGTATGGGTGCAATAGATGTGTACATGGCTCAGAAAAGGCAGCACGTCAAATGGGTGCCCACACCTGGAAACTCAAGAAAGTTATATTTGGAGTCTGGGGCAAGAGCAAAAATATTCTACAGGAGACAATGCCCTGACCATAAAGGAAGATGGAGAGATGGCAGATCCACGGGCAAGGAGGCATGCAAGCAAGCAAGCAAAAAGCAAACAATCAGGCCAGCCAAAAAGCAAGCTAGCAAGAAAGAAAGCATGCATGCGAGCATGACAACTAGTTAGCAAGGAACCAAGAAGCCTGTAGCTGATGAGAGATGCCTGCATCACTCATATGACCACTTGGTCCTAGAGCAAGGGAGATGTCTGTGAATATGGGCCCAGGCAGAACAACAAACACTTCATAGTCCATGCCCAGGTGCACAGTGACACTAAGTCCATAATGAAATGCAAAGGCACCTGTTTCTCTTTGCATCAAAATTAAGGTGCTCCATTAAGAAACTAGGGGAAGAGAAACAAATCAGTGTGGGGAGGTGCAGAGACCACTCATTCAGTAGGTGAGAGAGAGCTTTGCCTGCAAGCATTAGGGAGCAGAGGTCAGACCTCAGCAGAGGTGTGAATGTTTGCTTGATCAGTTCCATGCCTGCAGGTCAGGAAGCCCCGGGGGGACGCTGAGACTGGAGGAGCAGAGGGCCAAGCTGCTGTCCAGCAAGCCTCATCTTTAGGTCAGGGAATAAGACCGAGGCTCCAAGGGCACAGGCAGAACGTCCTAGGGCAGAACACCAAGCATCTCCCTGTGCCCCCTCCAGACACAGGAGCAGTAGCCTCCCACAGCACAACAACCCTAGCAAGCCAGCCTAACACTCACACACACATCTATCAACGCATTGCGGGAAGCGCCAGGATGCATGGCTCATGCCTGTCAATCAAGCACTCAGGACTCAGAGGCGGGAGGCTGGCTCCCTGGCTCCAGGCTAGGCAAGCTACATAGTCAGGCCTGATGGAGCTCCTCTAAAAGACACCCCAAAGCGCTAGGCAGGACCTGAGGCTCCAGAGCCCAGCCACCTCTCACCATTTCCAGCACTGACCATGGACCAGCCTGGGTTGAAGCGCCTCTGTTGAAGCGGTTCTGGGCGAGGTGTTCTCGCTAAGCCTCAGCTGCCTAAACCTCACCAAGTAGCCCTGGCTTCCCTGAAAGTGAGGTTCAGGTATGTGCCTGGGTCTGTGTGAGGCTTAGATCCATGTCCTAAGGCCCCACGCTGAGATGGAAGGCCAGTCTTTCTCTTTCAATGGTGAGTTTGGGCCGTGCGCATGCGCACAGGCTCCTGGGAAAAATGGGTCCCTAGCACCTAGCTGAGAGGGGTGTAACTCCAGCCTGCTGCAGGTGCTTGCTCAGGCTTCTCACCAAGGCGCTACCGGCCTGCTGGGGACTCCAGACGACCCCAGGATGACAGTCTTTGCTGTCGACCACCCGGGGAGGCCTCCCGAATGCCCCGTAGAGATTTGGGAAGACCTTGTCTTCTTTCCTTTCCATTTACTCGGATTTGGTGGCAGTCCTTGTTGTTGCTGTTTGTGAGAGAAGGTCCCACTGGGAGGCCTGGGCTGTCCTAGACCTCGACCTGTACCCGGCTGGTCAAGAACAGACAGGGATCCACATTCTTGCGCCTACCGAGGGCTGAGACAATAGACAAGCAATAACAGGAGGTTGGAAATACCTCGGAATGCTCCCGCGAGAGGCTAGTACACCCGAGAGCAGACAAGGTCCAGAATGCCTCCTGCAAGGCTCTCACCACCACTACCCTCAGGCTGAACTGGAGGAAAAACCATTGTTCAGAACCTACCAGCAGGCTGATTCCAGGCACCGGGAATGCAGATGTTCAATTGCCCTGGCATGGGAGGCCACCTCAACAGAGGGCCGATCACACATGAAGACAGTGTTCACCTGCAGGGATTTAGTTCTGCAGTGCAACCGAGCCTGGAAGGACAGGCCAGCATTCTGCTGTCCACGCCCCCATGCTGGCTCTCTAGGCCCGTACCTAGCTGTCTGGCCAAAGCTCCTTTGCCATGGCTCTAGACTCTGGGGTTCCAAGGGGAAGGACTTGGGATAGAACCTCACTCTCTGGCCCTTTGCAACTCCACCTGTGACCCGGAAGAATCCCAAGACCGCAGCCTAGGCATAAGCCTTAGAGTGGCAAAA